GGCTGGCTGGCGCGCCGGCTGGCCGGCCGGCTGAGCAAGGAGCTGGAGGGCGCCGCGCCCGCCTCGGGCGGCGCGGCGCGCAACGAAGCGGCGCTGCTCGCCTCGCTGACGGCGGAGGACCCGGAGGAGACCGGCGAAGCCCGGCGCGGCGGCTGGGCGCTGGCCGTCGGCTGGCTGGTGGTGCTGCTGGTCGCCGGGCTGTTCCACTACGCCGGCGCCGACTTCCTGCACGCACGCGATCCGCACCTCTGGACCCTGGTGATGCTGCTCGCCGCCATCGTCGCGGTCAGCGGCGTCTGGGCGGCCGCGCGTCTCGCGCCGGACCCGCCGTCGGCCGTGCGGACGCCCGAGCTCCCCGCCTCCTCGTGAGCGCGGCGCGGCGGGGAAAGACCTGCGGGTTGGAGCGATTTGCGACCGGCGGACGCGCTGACGCGCGTCCAAACGGTCGCAAATCACTCTAGCGCACGGCGCGGTTCAGGCCGCCGTCGGCCAGCAGGCACTGGCCGGTGACGTAGCCCGAGGCCGGCGAGAGCAGGAAGGCGCAGGCCCGGCCGATCTCCTCGAAGCGGCCGGTGCGGCCCATCGGAATGCGCCGGCGCGCCTCCTCGCTCATCGGCACGTTCTCGCAGAAGCCGGGCAGCAGGGCGTTCATCCGCAGGTTCTGCCGGGCATAGCGGTCGGCGTAGGCCTTGACGAAGCCGTGCAGCGCGCCGCGCAGCGCGCTCATCGGATAGTAGGGCCGCGGCTCCAACGCGTTCATCGAGGAGATCGCGACCAGCGCGCCGCCCCCCGTCGCCGCCATAAGCGGCGTCACCACGCGGGCCAGGCGGACGACGCCCAGCACGTACATGTCCAGGCTCTCGTGCCAGAGGCTGTCGGGCAGGTCGAGCAGCGGCATGTCCAGGTCCGGGCTCCAGTAGGCCTCCTCGATCTGCGACGGCAGGCCGCCGCCGTGGCCCATGTTGTAGACGGCGCCGTCGATGCGGCCCCAGGCGCGCAGGGCGTCGTCGGCCAGCGCCTGCAGGTCGGCCGGTTCCAGCACCGAGCCCTGGCGCCCGAGGCCGCCGAGCGCTTCGGCCAGCTCCAGGCTGCGCGCGGAGGGCGACATCAGCGCCACCCGCCAGCCCTCGGCGGCCAGCACCCGGGCGATGCCGGCGCCGATCCCGCGCCCGGCGCCGGTCACCAGCGCGACCGGGGCCGCGGCGCTGTCGGCGGGGCGGGCGGACGACGGGGTCGCGTCGGTGGACGTCGGGCCAGATGACGTCGGGCCAGGGGACGTCGGGCCAGGGGACGTCGGGCCAGAGGACATCGGGCCAGAGGACATCGGGCCAGAGGACATCGGGCCAGAGGACATCGGGTCGGCTCCTCTTCGCTGACGGGGCATCTTCGCTGACGGGGCATCTTCGCTGACGGGGGCATCTTCGCTGGGGCAGGGCCCCGTCCTACCGCGTCCTGGTATCGACAGCGCGCACCAAATCCTCATGATTCCGTGAGTTGAACTCACAGCCCCGGGGCGCCCATGACGGAGCACCTTCCCTCCCTGCGTGCCTTGCAGTCCTTCGAGGCGGCGCTGCGTCACGGCAGCTTCAGCGCGGCGGCGCGGGAATTGAACGTGACTCACGGAGCGGTCTCCCGCGCGGTCCAGGCGCTGGAGACGCATCTGGGCGCGCGGCTGCTCGTGCGCGGACCCTCCGGCGTCGTGCCGAGCGCGGCCGGCGCGCGCCTGGCCGCCGAGGTCGGGCCGGCCTTCGCCCGCCTGCGGGTCGCCTGCCGCGAGACGCGGCGGGCCGCCCTGGCCCGGCAGGTGACCCTGACCCTCTCCACCTCGCTGGCGTCGAAGTGGCTGGTGCCGCGCCTCGGCGCGTTCCAGGCCCGCCATCCCGATATCTCCCTGCGTCTGGTGACCGACGACCGGCCGCTCGACCTCGACCGCGAGGGCATCGACGCGGCGCTGCGCTACGGCGCCGGCCCCTGGGACGGCTACGAGACGCGGCTGGCGGTCCGCGAGGCGCTGCTGCCGGTGGCCGCTCCCTCGGTGCTGGCCGCGGCCGGCCTGCCGGTGTCGCAGGCGGCGGCCGCGCGGCTTTCGGCGGCGCAGATTCTGAGCTTGCCGCTGCTGGTCGATGAGCTGCACCCCGGCTGGAGGGCCTGGCTGGGGGTGGCGGGCAGCGGGGTGGCGGCCGTGCCGGAGGGCGGCAGCCGGTTCCGCGACACCGCCGTGCTGATCGCCGCCGCGCTGGCGGGCCAGGGAGCGGCGCTGGTGCGGGAGTTGCTGGCGCGCGACGACCTGGCGGCCGGGCGGCTGCTGCGGCTGGGCACCGCCGAGCTGCCGCTGGCGCGCGGCCTCTGTCTGCTGGTGCCGGCCGGCGGCGGCACCTCCGATGCCTTGCGCCGCTTCGAGTCCTGGCTCGGCGAGCAGCTCGCCTCCGCGGTCGGCGGGTCGGATCCGCGGCCGTCTGGAGGGCAGCGCGGGGGGCAATCGCTGCCGCGGTCGGGGGCTTCGCGACCGGTCTAGCCCGAGGCGGCAGACCAGGTGTCTCGCGACCGGCGGAACCGCTGTGCGGTGCCAACCACGCGCAAATCGCTCTAGCCGGTGGCGGCCGCCTGGAGGCCCGCGAGATCAGCGGCGACGAAGCGCAGGTGGCCGCGCTTGAGCCAAAGGCGGCAGCCCTCCGCTCCGGCACGCGCCACGAGCCTGTCGCCGTCCGGCAGGCGTAGCCAGGACGCCGGGGCGAAGCGCTCGCCGGCGCTGGTGAAGGCGCCGTCCAGCACCAGCAACTCCAGCCCGCCGGGGGCGTCGCAGACGATCTCCGCGTCCGGCGCCCAGCGCTCGATCCGCACCTCCTCGCGGGCATCGCGGTGCAGCGGGCCGACGGCGACGCCGGGACGGCCGGGCTGCGGCGTCAGCGGCAGGTCGCGGGTGCCGCGGTGCAGCGGCGTGCGGTCGTCGGCGGCGAACTGCCAGAGCTTGACGAAGATGGTGCAGCCCGCCGCCGAGGCCGGCGTGTGGCGCGACTGCGGCGGATTGCGCACGTAGCTGCCGGCCGGGTAGTCGCCGTGTTCGTCCTGAAACACGCCCTCGAGCACCAGGAACTCCTCGCCGCCGCCATGCAGGTGGGGGCTGAAGGCGCTGCCCGGCGCGTAGCGCACGAGCGAGGTGGCGCGGGCCAGTTCGCCGCCGACACGGTCGAGCATCTTGCGCGCGACCCCGGCGATCGGCGAGGGGGTCCAGTCCAGCGTCGCCGCATGCACGGCGGCGCGGCGGTCGAAGGCGGCATTGACGTCCATGATACGGGGCCTCGCGGTTGCGGGGGCTGGAGGGCCACGAGCGCGTAGCCGTGCGCGCGTACAGGCCAAGAGATGGGGCGTTCCGGCGCCGGGCGAAAGGTGGCGCCGGCGCCGCGCCACCCGACGGGCGATGGCGTGGGACCTGCCGGCGAGGCCTGCCCGGAAGCCTTCGCGTCGCGAGAGGAGACGGCGAAAAGTGCAGCCGTTAATTACTTACAAAGCTCAATAAAATACAAGCGATGGGGAGCCAATTGCGACGAGACGGGACCCGGAGCATGCGACCTGCGCCCAAGACCGCCAGTCTGCGCGAGACCGACCGCGCCCTGCGCGCCCGCCTGCGCGAGCGCGAGCCTTGCCTGTGCTGCTGGATCGATGCGCGGCAGTTCCGGCCCGACACCGCGGCCCGGCTGCGCGCCGGCATCCTGCACCGCGTGCTCGGCGACTTCGCGGCGCAGAGCCAGGGGCAGGTCTATCCCTTGCGCACCGGCGACATCCTGGCCGTCATTCCGCTTGCGGCCGAGGCGCGGCATCCGGCCCTGATCGGCAAGCTCGAGCTGGTTCTGCGCCGCCAGCAGGCGGGGCTGCTGGGCGATCTCGCCCACTTCCATCGCCTGCCCGACGACTACCAGGCGCTGCTCGACCGGCTCGAAGGCGTGGCCGAGCGGGCCGAGGCGCTGGACGCGGCGGCCGAGGTCGCGGGTACGGCCGGCGGCAGGGGCGGTGCGGGCGGCGATGCGGGCGGCGGTGCGGGGGCGCGGCCGCTCGACGTGACCCTGCTGACCAAGCTGGAAGCGAGCCTGCGCGGCTCCGACCTGACCGGCTTCATCAGCCACCAGCCGGTGGTGCGCTTCACCCGCGAGGGCGTCGACCGGGAGGTCTTTCGGGAATACTTCCTGGCCTTCGAGCGCCTGGCCCAGGCCGTCCTGCCGGGCTACGACCTCAAGGCGCGCGGCAGCCATTTCCAGTTCCTGACCGGCCTGGTCGACAGCAGCGTGGTGGGCGCGCTGGGCGAGCTGCTCGCCGCCCGGCCGGGCCAGGCCGTCTCGCTCAACCTCTCGCTCGAGACCAGCGCCGAGAACGACAAGGTGCTGGCGGGCCTGAAGCTGCTGCAAGGACAGGCCGGGACGTTGCTGGTGGAATTCGCGGCCGCCGAGGTCTTCGCCCACCTCGACGAATACCTCATCCTGCGCGACTACCTTCGCACGCTGGGCATCCGCGTGGTGATCGACCGCATCCGCCCCTCACAGCTTCCGCTGATCGACAGCGGCTACCTGCGCGCCGACCACTACAAGCTGCTGTGGACCGACGCCCTGACCGGCGGGCGCGAGCGCAACGCCGCCTTCGCCCGCTTCGTCGAGTCGGCGGGCAGCCGGCGCCTGGTGCTCAGCCAGTGCGACTCCCTCGACGCGCTGGAGTACGGCGTGCGCCACGACCTGGTGCACTTCCAGGGCTGGACCGTCGACCGTCTGCTGCAGCAGACCCGGAGTGAAGCCTCGGCGCCCGCCGCCACGCCGCAATCCGCCACGCCGCAATCCGCCACGCCGCAATCCGCCCGCCGCGCCGCCCGGCGGGTCTGACGCGCGCCGGAGCTGGTCCCCCGGGATCGGCCCCCGCGGGCGCACACGCGACTTTCGTTCGGCGGGCGGCTGCGCTAAGCCCTCGGCTGTCGGTTCAGGGGGCAGTCGGTTCACCGGGGGAGTCGCGATGACCAGCGCGGAGTGGGACGAGCAGGAACTGCGCAAGGACGAGGCGCTGGATCAGCTCGCCGAGCGCATCAACGTGGCGCAGTTCGTCGCCTACGCGCCGACGCCGCAAGGGCCGGAGCAGACCTTCAGCCGGGTGCGCGGGCACAGCCCCAACACGCACTTTCCCGATCTGCGCGCGGCTGCCGAGGAACTGCTGCGCCGCGGCGCCGACCGCGCCGTCAACCTGCGCAGCTACCTGCCGCAGGACCCGCGCAGCAAGCCCTTCCACTACGGGCTCGACCGGCTCGACGACATCGTCCAGGTGGCCGAGGACGCGCTGGCAGACGGCTTCTTCGTCATCCTCAACGAGACGGTGGACGTGAACGACGGCGGCGTTTCCGGCGTGGTCGAGGGCGGCATCGTCGAGTTCGCGCCCGACGACACGCCGCGCTGCGTGGAGAAGCCGGGCACCGCCTCGCTGCCGCTCGACTGGGCACGCCAGGTTCTGGCGCTGGTCTACGGCTTCGATCCGGAGCTGCCGGTGGGCGCGGGCGAACGGCTGGAGTTCTCCCTCCACCCGCAGCCGCGCGGCTGGCGCGGCACCCAGACCCTGGGCTGGGAGGTGGAGGAGGTCGGCGCCCACGCGCTGACGCCGCGCCTGGCTTGGCCCAACCGCTTTTCCCGGCTGATCGGGGACAAGGCCTACGGCCTGCTGATGGCGCACCTGGCCGGCGCCCGGGTGCCGTTGACCTCCGTCTTCGCGCGGCGCCTGCCGGGACGTCCCTTCAGCTTCGGGGCGCAGACCGGCGGGCGCGACGTCTGGGTGCGCACCTGTCCGATCGAGCCGGTGCCGGGGCGCTACGCCACGCACCACGGTTGGGTCGAGCCCTTCGCCCTGCTGCAGGCCGAGGACCCCGAGCCGCGCGAATGGACCGACCCGGACCTGCACCTCAGCGACCTGCGTCACATCCTGGCCTCGGCGGTGGTGCAGGCCGGGGTGCCGGCGGCCTGGTCGGGCGCCTACTACGTTGACGCCGAGGGACGCGGCCTGGCCGAGGGCGTGGCCGGAGCGGGCGACGCCTTCATGCTGGGCGCGCAGGCGCCGCAGGAGCTGCCCGCCGGCCTGCGCGGCGAGATCGAGCGCGAGGCCGCGCGCCTGGCCGAGGTCTTCGGGCCGGTGCGCTTCGAGTGGGTGCACGACGGCGAAGCGCTGTGGGTCGTCCAGCTCCATCGCGGCCGCACCGCCAGCCAGGGCGCGGTCATCGTGCCCGGCGCGGCGGCCCGCTGGGAGCGCTTCGAGGTGGCCGAGGGCCTGGGGGCCCTGCGCGCGCGGCTGGAGAAGCTGCCGCCGGATTGCGGCCTGGAGGTGGTCGGACGGGTCGGTCTGACCAGCCACGTGGCCGACGTGCTGCGCCGCGCCGGCGTGCCCGCGCGTCTCGTGTAACCCGCAGCCCCGTAACCTGCAGCCCCGTAACCTGCAGCCCCGTAACCTGCAGCCCCGTAACCTGCAGCCCCGTAACCTGCAGCCCCGTAACCGCCGCCCTGGGCGCCGCGCGGCGGGCTCAGGCGATGTCCAGGGTGCCCATCATGCCGGCGAGCTGGTGCTCCAGCACGTGGCAGTGGAACATCCAGCGGCCCGGCGTCTCGGCGACGAAGGCGGTGTCCACCGTCTCGCCGGGCGCGATCAGCAGGGTGTCGTGCCAGGGCTGCGGCTCGACCGGCCGCCCGTCGCGCGCCAGCAGCTTCAGGTGATGGCCGTGCAGATGCATGGGGTGCTCGAAGCTGGAGCGGTTGACCAGCCGCAGGCGGTAGCTGCGGCCCCGTTGCAGCGAGAAGAGCGGCGGGTCGTCGGGGCCGGCATGGGCCTGGCCGTTGAGCGCCCAGACCTTGCCGCGCGCCGCCAGCTCGCGAAAGCCGTAGGACTCGCCGCCCAGCCGCGCCGTCATCATCTGCCCCATGGCGCCGCCGCCCAGCACCAGCTCGAGATCCTCGGCGGCGCCCAGGTCGGGGGCGGGCAGGGGATTGTCCGGCAGGGCCAGCGGCGCGTCGAGCGGGCTGGCGCGCAGCGGCCGCTCCGCGTCGTAGGCGATGCTCAGCAGCTCGTAGGCATAGTTCTCGTAGTAGGCGTCGACCACGCGGGCGCGGCTGCCCGGGTCCTGCCCGAGGTCGAGGATCAGGTCGCAGCGCCCGCCGGCGCCGAGCACGACCAGCCCGTCCGGCGGGCTGTGCGGGCGGCAGGGCTGCCCGTCGAGTGCGACGATCTGCGGCGCGTGCCCCTCGAAGCGCAGGCCGAAGGTGCGCGCGTTTGAGACGTTGGCCAGGCGCAGGCGCACCCGCTCGCCGCTGCGCACCGGCCAGCTCGCCGGCAGGACGCCGTTGAGGGTGACGGTATTGCCGATGCGCCCGGCATGCGCCGCCTCGTGGAGGTTCTCGCCGAAGCCGCCGACCATCCGCGCCTGCTCGTCGAGGCGCCAGTCGTCGAGCACCCAGAGCTCCTCGCGGTCGACCTGCGGCGGCTCGGCCTCCGCGACCACCAGGGCGCCGGCCAGGCCGCGGCCGACCTGCTCGCTGGCGTTGACGTGGGGGTGGTACCAGAAGGTGCCGGCGTCCTTCAGCGCGAAGCGGTAGCGGAAGCGCTCGCCCGGGCGGACCGGCGGCTGGGTCACGTCGGGCACGCCGTCCATGGCGTTGGGCAGGCGCAGGCCGTGCCAGTGCAGCGTGGTCGGCTGCGGCAGGCGGTTGACCAGCTCCACCTCCAGGGTCTCGCCCTGGCGGTAGCGCAGCAGCGGCCCGGGACAGCGGTCGTCGTAGGCCCAGACCGCCGTCGGCGGATAGTCGGTGCCGACCAGCGGGACCTCGCTCGGCGCGGCGGTCAGTCTGCGCGGTGTCGCCGCGGGGGCGGGGCCCGTTTCGGCCTGTGGGGCTTCGGCTTGGGCGGCGGCGGGCCAGGGCGTCAGCAGCGGGCCGGCCGCGGCGGCGGCGGCCAGCCCGAGGGCGCGGCGTCGGGTCAGGCTCGGCCCCGACAGGGGGCGGCGGGTCAGGCGACCCGGCGAAGTGGGCTGCATGCTGTCTCGATCCCCGGACCGCCTCAGTTCTGGGCGGCCTCGTAGCGTTGGTTGACCTCGTCGTGGCGAGCCTGCACCTCGTCCGGCCAGCGGCTCTTGATATAGCTCAACACGGCGCGGATTTCCGCGTCGCTCAGGATGTCGGCGTAGGCCGGCATGTCGCTCTCGTAGTCCTCGCCCACCAGCGCCTGGGGGCCGAACTTGGTCATCGCGAAGAGGTGGGCATCCGGGTGGTGCCAGGTATGGCCGCTGGCGTCGTGCGGCGGCGCCGGCAGCCGGCCGGCGGCGTTGCGCTGGCGCCAGTTGGGCTGGCCTTCCAGATCGGCGCCGTGGCAGGCCGCGCATTCGGCCCGGTAGATCTCGGCACCGCTGGTCACCAGGTCGCTGTCGGTGGGGTCGATCAGCGCCTGGCTCTCACCGGGCTGCAGCAGCACGAAGGCGAGGGCGGCCGCCGCGCCGGCGCCCACCAGGGTTGCGGGAATCAGCAGCTTTTTCATGGGTCAGGAGATGCCGCTTCCTCTGGTGGGAAGGTCAAGCCTTCGGCCTGGGCCGTGGCGTCGCGCCCGCCCGGTTCACGTCGGGGGGCCGGCGAGGCTGGTCAGCAGCGCCGTTGCGGCCAGCACGCCGACGGCCAGCAGCAGCTCCAGGCGGATCGCCGTGGCGAGGCGGCCGGCGGCGGCGGGGTCGCCCCGGCACAGGCGGGGGACGAAGCGCAGCTTGTTGGCGCTGGCCAGCGCGAGCAGCACGGCGACGCCGGCGAGCTTGGCCAGCAGCAGTCGGCCGTAGAGCGTGTCGACCAGCGCCTCGGGCCGGCCGACCAGCCAGACCACCAGGGCCAGGCCGGCGGCCAGCAGCAGCGGCACCGCCCAGGTGGCCTGGCGCGAAAAGCGCTCCATCGCCGCGGCCGCCTGGTCCGGCGGCGCCTCGGTGCAGCGCAGCAGCGGCCAGAGGCTGCCGAGCCAGAAGGCGAGCCCGGCCAGGTGGACCAGCAGCAGTGCCTGTGCGAGCCAGGTCGGCTGCAGGTCGGCGGTGTGGCCGAGCAGCGCGAAGCCGGCGAGGGCGGCCAGCAGGCCGGGCAGGCCGACCAGGCGCCGCAGGGGCGGCACCGCGGTGCCGGCGAGCAGCAGCAGCAGTCCGCCGGCCTGGACCTGCGCCGCCTGCCCGGCGGGGCTCGTCAGCACGACCTCCCAGAGCGCCGGGTCGAGGCCGGCCGTCCAGCCGCCGCCCAGGAAGACCACGTCCAGCCCCAAGCGCAGCGGCAGGGCCAGCAGGGCAAGCCCGGAGCCCGCGAAGGCGAGATGCCGCGCCAGCCGCAAGGCGGGCTCCGGCGCCCGCGGCAGGAGGACGGCGAACAGCAGGGCGCCGCCGCCGCCGAGAATGCCGAGGCTGGCGAGCAGACTGAGGCCCGCCCGAAGCAGCTCAAGCTGTGGCATGAAGCTCGGCCGACGTCGCGGTCAGGGGGCGACGGTGAAGTCGAAGCCGCCGCTGACCGGATGCCCGTCGGCTGACAGCGCCCGCCAGTCCAGGCGGTAGTCGCCGGGGCGCAGCTCCGGCAGTGGCAGCGAGACCTGCGCGGCCGGCTCCAGGCTGCGCGAGCGCGGCAAGGCGATCTCCTCGCCGGCGCCGTTGCTGAGCGTGACCGCGGTCAGCCGCACCGGCTCGTCGAAGCGCAGCACAGCGCTCTCGACGCTGGCGACCGTGGCGCCGTCGGCCGGCTCGCTCGTCATCTTCTCGGTATGGGCCCAGGCGCCGTCGGCGCCGCCCAGCGCCGCCGCCAGGACGCCTGCCCGGATCAGGCCTCGCATGTCCATCCTGCCCTGCCTCGTCCCGTATCGTTGTTCGTGAACTTGCGCTAGAGCAGATGCCGACCTGAAGGACTCGCGACGCGCTCCCTCCAGGTCGGCTGACTCTGCTCTAACACAATAAAGTGAGAGCGACGTCTCGCGACCGGCGGAACCGCGGCGCGGGTTCCATACGGTCGCAAATCGCTCTAGACAACTGCGCAAATCAGATTGAGCTTCCGCCTGGTGGAAGGTCAAGTGACGCCCCCTGATCGCCGTCCGGTGCAGAGAGAGGAGCCCATGCCGAAGGACCCGAGTTCCACCGCGCGCCAGCGCGCGCCGCGAGTCTGGGACCTGCCGACCCGCCTGTTTCACTGGGCGCTGGTGGCGCTGGTGCTGACCAGCTACCTGACGGGCGAGTTCTGGCGCGGCCTCGACATGCAGTGGCACAAGCTGTCGGGCTACGGGATCCTGACGCTGCTGCTGTTCCGGCTGGCCTGGGGGGTCTGGGGCACGCGCCATGCGCGTTTCGCCGACTTCGTCCGGCCGCCGGGCGAGACGCTGGCCTATCTGCGCGGCCTGCTGGCGGGACGCACGCCCGGCTACCGCGGGCACAATCCGCTCGGCGGCCTGTCGGTGCTGGCGCTGCTGCTGGTCCTGCTGGTCCAGGCGGGCAGCGGCCTGTTCACCAGCGACGACATCTTCATCGAGGGTCCGCTCGCCGGCCTGGTCTCCGGAGCCACCGTCGATCTCATGAGCCGGGTGCACGGGCTGGCCTTCAACCTGCTGCTCGCGCTGGTCGCTCTGCACCTCGTCGCGGTGGCTGCCTACGAGGCCCTGGCCGGGCAACGGCTGCTGCGCGCCATGGTCACCGGCCGCAAGGCGGCGGCCCCGACCGCCGCTGCGAGCGACACCGCCGCCGAACGCGAGAGCGGTCGCGCAGCGCCGGCGGAGGTTCCGCTCGCGGCGCTGCGCGGCCTGCTGCTGCTGGCGCTGTCCGGTGCGGCCGTGGCCGCCCTGGTCTGGGGGCTGCCGGCCTGGGCCGGGTGAGGCTGCCGGCTACTCCGCGCGGTAGTCGTCGTGGCAGGCCTTGCAGGCCTGGGCGACGGCGCCGACCAGCGGTCCCAGCTCCTCGGCGCTGAGGTCCGAGGCGGCCGAGCTCAGCTTGATCGCGGTCTCGCCGAGGGCGGCGGCCTTGTCCGTGAAGTCGGCCTTGTTCTCCCAGATCTCGGGTAGCGCGTCGCTGTCGGCCTGCATGTCGGAGCCGGCGGGGAAGCCCTCGACGATCATGGCGGACAGGGTGGCGATGCGCTGGGCGCGCAGCTTCGCCTCGGCGGCGTTGAACTCCGTCTCGCCCTTCGCCATGGCGGCGAGCGGCGCGACATTCCACTTGAGGTTCTGGAACACGCCCTGGCGGTAGGCGACCGCCTCCTCGGGGCTGGCGGCCAGGGCGGCCAGCGTGCCGCCGGCGGCGAACGTGGCCACGACCGTGGCCGCGAGTAGAGCGCGGGTGCTGCGTGCGAGCATGCGTGTGTGACTCCCCCGGTTGAATGGTGGCGGCCCTGCGCCGCCACGGGTGACTCCGGCAAGAATGCCACGCTAACGCGCCTTCGCGAAGGTTTCGTGACATCGCCGTCTCGCGGCTGACGGGCCGGTGGCGCTTGGCTACAGTCCGCCGCGCCGAAGCGGAGATCGGGGCAAGGGAGGCGGCGCGGACATGGCCGAGGGGTGCGAGACGGAGGGCCGCGAGACGGAGGGTCACGAGACGGAGGGTCACGAGACGGGGGGCCGCGAGACGGGGGGGCGCGAGACGGAGGGGCCGGCGGCGGCACGCGGTCGTGCGGCGGAGGTCTTCCTGGCCTTCGTCCGACTGGGAGTCACCGCCTTCGGCGGCCCGGTCGCCCATCTCGGCTACTTCCGCACCGAGTTCGTCGAGAAGCGCCGCTGGCTCGACGACCGCAGCTATGGCGAGTATGTCGCGCTGGCGCAGTTTCTGCCCGGGCCGGCCTCCAGCCAGGTCGGCATGGCGCTCGGCGCGCACCGCGCCGGCTGGCTCGGCGGCCTGGCGGCCTGGACCGCCTTCACCCTGCCGTCGGCTTTGTTGATGCTGGCCTTCGCCTACGGCCTGGTGGCGCTCGGCGATCCGGCGGGGGCCGGCTGGCTGAAGGGGCTGAAGCTGGTGGCCGTCGCC